TATACCTATAAACAAAGTTTTATATTTTACGCAGTGTCTGCAGTAAGTTGAATGTCTAGTTATGGATACACATACATATGTTTATAGTGTATAGTAGTACATACTTACATACATACAGTTCGTTTCATTTGGATAGGACACCTACCAACTTTTATAGTTGATCGCTCGTAGCGAAGACAAAAATCGTTGAAAGCTAAAATTGTTTTAAAATTCTAATCTCTGTTCTATTGTGATTCTAAAATGCAGTTACATTTTTTCATTATTGCTTTCCCCACCTTTTTATTTGCACTGCTATTGGCGAATTGGCGCTCAGTAAGCTATTCTTAAAGGCTCTTGCTAAGCTTTATTTTAATATTTTTTAATGTTTGGATTATATTTTTCGATGAAAAAAAACTTAATTTGAGCCCATCAGGGCCATCCAAATATAATCTATACACTAAAATCAGATCGACTTGATTCCTTCCAGATGGCGTTTTCTAACTGCTATTGAATTTCGGATTAAATTTTATCAAAATCGGATAACACATAACACATAGCTGCCATAGGAAAGATCGAAAAATATATTTATAAATAATGGAAAAAAAATTATAATGTCGTTGCTTTTAATCCCACGAGCATGAATTTGGGAACATCAAGTTTTTTAAATACTCTTAAATCGAGAAAAAATTTCATAAAAATCGGAGAACTTTATCATATCTGCCAATAAATCGTGTACAATATTTCGCGATTTTTTTTTATTTTCGTGGCGATTTGGGTCACATTAAGGCCTGAGTCCAAATATGCATTAATTTTCCTCCACCCATTTTCCCATCTTTATCCTGGAATGCTGGATCCAAGGCCTATTTTAGTTTCATTGATCAATACTAGCTTTAGATTGCACACTGTACACAAGTGATTACTGACAACTGTCCTATCCAAATAAAACGATTTTCAGCATGCAAAAAACCATGCAGCAGTGCAAAAACTCAAATAAAAAAGTGGGGAAAGCAATAATGAACAAGAAAGGAAGCTAGCTTCGGCAAGCCGAAGCTTATATACCCTTGCAGTCATTAAATATGTCTAACAAAATACAAAAAGGCTAAACAGCATCAAATCTATGACGATTTTTCTATTAATTTTCCATATTGTTCATATGACAGCTATATGATATAGTCGTCCGATTTTGATAAAATTTAATTTGTAACTCAAGACTCATAAGAAAACTCTATATTCTAAAAATCATGATTGTCTGATGAAAAACATCGAGGTAATAATTTTATTTCCGTTATTTCTATATAGATTTTTGATCTTTCCTATGGCAGCTATAAGATATAGTTGTCCGATTTTGATAAAATTTAATACGAAATTCAATAGTGGTTAGAAAACGCCATCTGGAAGGAATCAAGTCGATCTGATCAAAAACAACGGAGTAAGAATTTTTAATTTCATTCTCCCGTATGGGAGCTATCCGATATAGTCGGCTGATCCGGCTCGTTCCGACCTATATACTGCGTGCAACAACTAGACAACTTTTGGGAAAGTTTCAGCCATATAGCTTTAAAACTGCGAGACTAGTTTACATAGAAACCGACAGGAGGACAGACGGACAGACGGACAGACGGACAGACAGACAGACGGACAGACGGATTTGGATTCAGATGGTGATGCTGATCAAGAATATATATACTTTATTGGGTCTGAGGTGTCTCCTTCACTGCGTTGCAAACTTCTGACTGAAATTATAATACCCTTTTGCTCTGCAAGGGTATAAAAAATGTAACTGCATTTTAGAATCACAATAGAACAGACTCTAACTTTAAAACAATTTTAGCTTTCAACGATTTTTGTTTTCGCTAAGAGCGATCAACTATAAAAGTTGCAAGGTGTCCTATCCAAATGAAACGAACTGTATATACACACGCATAGGATACTTTTAATTCCAAAAGATAAAATTCCTTAAACATGCAAACATACGTATGTACATAAATATGTAGATGTGCGTTTAAAGATATAGAAATCTTAGAATTTCTCAAGTTGACCACAATTAGCAATTACACGGATATCTGTACATATATACATTGGTATGTACTTGCCAGAAATACTTGCATATACATAGAGTATCTACAAATGTGCATGCACGTATGTATGTATTACTAATTAAACAAAAGTGAAAAGACTGTTTACATAATTATGTAGATATGTATATGTATGTAACATGTAGAGCAAACAGAAGCATTCATATTTTTAGAAATAATTCATAGAATTTAAACATTATAGTAATTTTCGATCTCTCCTATGGCAGCTATATGATAGAGTTATCCAATTTTGATCAAATTTAATCCGAAATTCAATAACAGTTCGAAAACGCCATCTGAAAGGATCTGATCAAAAATAACGGTGTAAGAATTTTTTATTTCATTCTCTCGTATGGGAGCTATCCGATATAGTCGGCCGATCCGGCCCGTTCCGACTTATATACTGCAATAACTACACACCTTTTGGGAAAGTTTCAGCAAGATAGCTTCAAAACTGAAAGACTAGTTTAAAGAGAAACGGACAGACAGACAGACGTAGGTACAGACGTACGTCACTGCGTTGCAAACTTCTGACTGAATTTATAATACCCTTTGCTCTGCAAGGGTATAAAAAGTTCGCGCGCACTTATGCATTGAATAATAAATAAATATTATAATATAATATAATATTATGTATAATATAAAAAATTCTCACTCCGTTGTTTTTCATCATACAAGCATAATTTTTGGAATATGGAGTTTACTCTTTCATCAAAATCGGACAACTATATAATATAGCTGCCATACGAACAATAGACGAAAATATGGAAAATTAATAGAAAAATCATCATAGCTTTGATGTTGTTTAGCCCTTATGCATTTTGATCGACATATTTGATGACTGCAAGGGTATATAAGCTTCGGCTTGCCGAAGCTAGCTTCCTTTCTTGTTTAGCACTATTTTGCGTATTTTGTTTCGTCACGTCGCAATATCCGGTTGAATTGTGAAAAATTCACTTCGGTTTGTCGCTAAAAACGAAAAAAAAAACGTAGCGGAGGCCCATAAAAGTTTCAATGGGGTCCAAGCCATCGAGTTTCCGTCGCCAAACCCGGACGGACACTATAAGCGGAGTCGTTATAACAGGATTCTACTGTACATAGTTTTGTTCATTTTATCATCTATGTATAAAGACCATTCTGCCGACTCTACACGAAGCTACACACCCTCAAACGGACACCATGCTTAATACATAGTTGGTATTAATTTTTTCTCTTCCAAAGCTTTATTTGCCTTTCTCCATTCTTTGGAAAAACCGTCGTGTCCAAATATGTTGTATGTATTTCGATTTCTCACTTAAAACTACGTTCTCCCAAAATGAACCCGGCTTGCTTACAACATTCAGTTTTGTGAACTCTAAATGGTATTCTATCCTTGCAGAGCAAGGGCAATTTAGGCCATAAGTTTGCAACGCTGTAAAGAAGGAGACACCACAGACCCAATAGAGTATACATATGTATATATTATTGATCAGCTGTCTGTTTCTACGCAAACTAGTCTCTCAACTTTAAAGCTACCTTCCTAAAACTTTCCCAAAAGTTGTGTAGTTGTTGCACGCAGTATATATATCGCCATAGAAAAGATCGAAAAATATATTATATATGTAGATAATGGAAAAAAAATTATAACGCCGTTGTTTTCAATCCCTCGAGCATGATTTTCAAAATATGGAGTTTTTAATAAACCTTAAATCGAAAAAAAAAATTTTTGATTAAAATCTGACAACGTTATCATATAGCCGCCATAGGAAAGTTTAAGAAATCTATATAGAAATAACGAAAATAAAATAATAACATCGTTGTTTTTCATCAGACAAGCATGATTTTGGGAATATAGAGTTTTCTAACGACTCTTGAATTACAAATTAAATTTTATTCAAATCGGACAACTATATCAATTTAGCTGCCATATGAACAATAGTCTATCTATAAAATTAGTGGAAGAAAATTATAAATTTGTTGTTTTTATCATAAAAGCAAAGATTGGTTTAAAAATCGAGTTATATATATATTTCATAAGCATCGGACGACTATATCATATACATATGTAATTTTCATACAAATATCGACGGAAATATTGAAAAAAGTCATAAACGATATTGTTTATTCATTTGCTCGACATTTGTAATTGTAACTGCCGACGATAGCTTTCACTCTTTTGGAAATAATATTACGCTGCCTACAAATCACGTTCCTGCGTATTGACCATTCTGTTACTACCCTTTCTAAAACACTCTTTCAGTAAAGGTCAAAGTGCACTTCACTTGACAAACTGGGCACATTTAAGTCGAAAATTAGTATTTTTCATTTTAGTAGGACAATGAAAAACCTATTATAGCTTTCCATTTGGCTTTCCGAAAAAGTAGCCAAAGTTGCTTATGCAATATCCTTCAGTTATTATTTAGTAATATTTACTTAAATTTGTCTATATCTTCAAAATTGCACAACCAAAGGAAAAAAAAGTAAATTAATAGACGTTATGTTTTAACCATCAACAAAATTAAATACAATGCTGCACTACAATAAGGTAAATGATGTTACTAGATACAGAAACATCAGCCAATCATAATACAAACATCAATTAGTCATAATTACGTCTTATACAAATTCCAATCGACATGTTTTTAGAAGTGCTAGATAAAACTTTATAGCTTAGCTGCTTACTAGATAGGTTTTTATTTAGAGTTTTAAATTGAACTCTGTTAACGATTCCGGGGCCCGGAAGATGATAGTGTGCCTGACTATTCGACCACAAATTACATTTTCTCACTTTCACAGAACTTTATACGGAGCAAGTTTTATTTAAAACCTCCTTTTTTGTACCCTCAAACTTAAAGAACCTTTATAACATGAACCTAGTTCTCCGACAGAAAAGCAGAAATATGCCTTCGTATTAAAACTTGGTAGACTTAATATCTTTTATGTTTTATGTTTTTTTTACCATTGCAGGCCCCCGAAAACGAACTGCAGAAGTCCCATGACTACAACTCAGCCGCGTTAAGCGAGCACCAGTTGCGCGTTCAGGCATCGCTTCAGCGGCTTAACATACCCGACTGGTTTCGTCAGTTCAATAAGGAGTCCGGCCAGGTGCTAGATGGTGCCAATGCCGTCCCGGGTACAACACCGGGTGGATACCGACCTGGCAATTTCACCCGCAAGCGCACACAGGAGTCGGGACGCTGGCAGGGTCTCAACTCGAAGACGACCTCTCTCAGCTCGCTGGGATCACAGCGCTCTGACCGGAGTCCTCTGCTGATGAGTCCTTCGGCGCACAGTCACCACGGCGGCCAGAGCGCCTATGCATGTGGCTCGGGTGGGGCGCGCGGAGCGGCACCCAGTCACAACGGCGGGGGTGCCACGCGATGGTCCACCTCGCACCTGAATGCCACTTCGACGTCGCCCAGTGTCTCTCAGCGCGGAAGCTTTGCACGAGGAGCTCCCATTAATAGTAGCTTCATATCAGTGGCCAGCAGCAGCGGCGTGTTGCGCAATTCCTACCGACAGCCTTACCTGGGCTGGCGCAGCTCGGAAAAACTGTCCCAGCGGACTCCCCACGAACGGTAAGTGCGAATTAGGCAATAATGTAACAGTAACAAGACTTTCGTTTTATTTCTTTAATCACTTTATTCAAAATATGCGACTCCTCCTTTTAAGTGTCTGACGTTGAATGCTTTTTTATTCTCTTCCTTCTTCTCCTCGTTCAGCCGCATAAACCTATTCTATTCTATTTTATTCTATGAGAGCGAGAGAGATGGCTATACATCTCTGGTCTTTAACAGTAATTTTTATTTTATGGTACAGTGGGTATAGTAGGTAAACACCCTACTACATATGGTACAGTGGGTATTGTAGGTAAACATCCTACTAAAATAAAAACTCCTATACCATTGGGGTGCTCGTCGCTGACAGAGCTAACTCGGTTACATTTAATAGGCGTTAATACTTGGCAAGTTGAGTTTTGCCAAGCTTTATTACGTTTCGGACAGCTGGGTCGACCCTTGGAGGGTAAACTAGTATATATATATTCTTGGTCAGCATCAGGATGTGAATCGACTGTTCGTGTGGCTGTTTCTATGTGATCCGGCCGGATCGGGCGACTACTCGTATATCGGATAGCTCCCGTACGGGAGATTAAAAAAGAAAATGATTACTCCGTTGCTTATGATCATACCGACTGGATTCCTTCCAGATGGTTTTTTTAACTACTATCGAATTTTAAATTTAATTTTATCCAAATCGAATGACTATATCTTGGGAAATATCGAAATATATATATATAAATAATGGCAAAAATAATTATAGCGTCGTTTTTTTTTTAAATTGTTAAAACATAAACTTTTTTAACAAATCCTGAATCGAGAAAAAAATTTCATAGAAATCGGACAACTATATCGTATAGCTGCCATATGAAAAATTGAAATGAAATTAACGGAAATTGACGGAAAAAATGATAACATCGCTGTTTTTCATCAGACAACTTTATTTTTGGAATCTAGAGTTTTCTAATGACTCTCGAATTAATTTTCATTAAAAACGACATATCGACTTATTTGATGACTGCAAGGGTAGCTAGCTTTCTTTGTGGTTTTAGGTTTCTCTTTTATTTTTCTGTGAGATATTAAACCGATTAAATTTGCTTATTTGTTTTTTAACTTTCAGCCTGGCCAACTCGCTGCTGGCACAGCGCGCAACCACGTCTCCCACATCTACCCCTTCGACACCCAAAGGAACTCGACTGCTGCAGTCTGAAACGCCAGATATTCAGAGCTCCATCAAGGAGGTGACTTCCGCCATCGTTCACTACGTGAATGACCAGCAGCAGTCCCAGCATCAGCGCAGTCGCTCAGCCAGTCCGAACTCGAGGTAGGCAACGGCAGTCAGCTAGTTGCAAAACCGTATTTAATAAATTCAAGTAGACGCAAATTGTTGTCGCTGTATGGTCAGCTGCCCTTTTAATCGACCCTTTAGCTAGTCATCTATCCAGTGAACCGCTGCTTTTGCACAATTAATGTGCAAATTTGACCGAAAAAGTTCCAATCGATTATGTGCCCTATTTTAATTTTTTTTTTTTTTAACAAATACACACTTTGTAGCTACCTGTAAAAGCACCCCCATTAGTCGCACCACAAAAGTCACCAGCTCTCGCAGAGGTAAGACTCTAGTTGGATTACATCTGTGACTAACCCAAAACCCTTTGCACATTAACCACTTTTTGCTGCCGTACTGTACGGCTAACCTGATAATTGTATATGTAATTGTATATATTGGATATGTTACAACAAATGGGTAAATGGTCTTGTCTTATGGGCTTACTTGTACCCTTACCGAGGAAATTATTCTTGATCAGCATCACGATCTGAATCGAAATAAGTCTGTCCGTCTGTCGTCCTGTCTGTTTCTTTGTAAACTAGTCTGTCAGTTTGAAAGCTGTGTTGCTGAAATTTTACCAAAAGTTGTGTAGTTATTGCACGCAGTATATAAGTTGGAAGGGGCCGGATCGGCCGACTATATCGGGTGCTCCCATACGACAGAATGAAATAAAAAATTATCACGTTGTTTTTGATCAGATCGACTTTATTTCTTCCAGATGGTGTTTTTTAACTACTATCGAATTTCGAATTAAATTTTATCAAAATCGGATAACTCTATCATATAGCTTTTTCAAGTCAAATAATAGCACTAAATGCAAAGTCAAGTTGATGACTATGGCATAAAAATGGCACCATGGCAGCAAAAGTTTTATAAAATTGGTACAAATTGGTCTTAAATGTTTGGTACATTAATATTAATTGGTCAATTTAATATTAATGCGAATTTTTCTTATTTTTTCACCTTCGCTAAATTCGTAGATTTCTTCTCTTAAACCATAATTTTTTTGTAAATGCGGGGGATGACTTTATAATAATTGATTTATTATATTGATAGATTATTATATATTTTTTTCTCAAAAACATAAAGTCACCTTGTAAAATGTGCAGGTCCTAAGACCATTAGGCTAACGATTTTGAATATTTGATGACTATCAAAGACAAATTTGCCGTGTAGAGAGAAAAGAATTCCTAAATCTGCTCGGAAAAAATCAACCTACACTTAAGAAAAAATTTGTCGTTTCAAAGAATTGTTAAGAAAATCCCGCAAAATCGCGATTTAGGTTTTGGGGCTATTTACCAATATTAAGAAAAAACATGTTTTGTTAGTAGTTGCTCTAAAAGGCCTTCACTGGGATTAAATTCTTATATTTCCATATTTTTCCTGTAGTCTAATTTATTTACCATCATCAACCAAACGTTAGATAAATGCTTGACTCTACTTTTATTTGTAAACACATTTACATCTGTCTTAAATTGTTCTTTCTTTCAAGCCTAAGCTTTTACACGCCAAGAAAAAAGAAAGTCTCCACTCCGACAAGCACTTAAATACTATACATTTGGTAATTGTTTGTTGGATACACACACAGACAATATACTTGTTTGCCATAAATTTTATTTGGGTTTCTGGAATTTTTATCCATTCTTCAAAATGGTGGCGTGAGATTGGGGATGTTACATTTTTTTTTCCAAGAATATTTAGCTCAAAGAATGGCAAAGAAGTGATATCGCCATTGAAATCACTTTGAAATGCCTGATACCAAAAGAAAACGTCATACACCAAACAATCAAGTCAGAAAGCCGAAATTAGCAGCATGTTTCTGAATCTATGGTTAGCCAAATTTGTTCACTTGTTAAAACCCCCAGCACCCCCCGTGCCGGGCAGGCCATCTGAAGCTCTTTGTCTATGATTCTCTTCCGTTAAGCAGTTTTTTAAGCATTCGCTTTCATTCATACTGACTCCTCAGTATCGCCCGGCTGCTCGGCAAATTCTATTCTTAGCTAATTTAAATTGAACAAAATCTTAGAACAAATAAGACAACGGAACTGCATGAGTAAATCTTATTGGTTGCATTTAATTAAAAATCGATGGTCTCATTAGGTGCATAGTTGCGTGGATGAGTGAAAGCTCAAACTCATTTCAAGCACAAGTGCCGTGACCCATTTATGTGTTGTCCGACAGATATTGATTTAACTAACTTTTGTGTCGAAACATCCCCAGTAAAAACTTGACTTAATTACTATCTACGTCTGTATACTGCAGGAAGTGTTGGCTTGAGAGCAGCTTTGTGGGCACTCGACCTCTGGACTCGCCGCAGACACCAGTAATTGACAACAGCCCCCCCGAGTCCGCCCGCGGCCAACAGCAGCTCCACCAGATCCACCATCTGCACCTAGATGCTACTCTATCACCAGCAGTCGCCTCCGGTCAGCCGCCACTTCGCATGAACGGACTTAGTCGTATCGGCGGCGGTGGCGGTGAGTCCACCATTTATATCTGACATATCGCCGGGATGTATATACCGACATACTCCTGGCCGGCGGCTTATGTTAAGTTGTTGATTATTTCGATTCTTTTAGTGCACGATTCAACAATATTTAACTTACTGCATACAAAGAAGTAACGTTTACGTAGATTTCTATTTTTAACCATAGAGAAACCCGCAGCACACTTTAACATCCTCACTTTAAAATTGAAATTCTATATAATACTTTCTTTCTCTGCTGTGCTTTTTTACTTGGTAGTCTAGAGTGCAAAGAGTATCGCATTTTAAGTTTTTTACTCGAATCCGAATGACTTTTTATCGTTTCGAGAATTAAAAAATTATAATTTCGCATTCATTTTATTAAAAAAAATTCTTTTATATATTTATTTTCAATAAAAAAAGAATTGGAACAAAAGTAATTATTGTATTTTTGTATTAGTAGCACTCAATACAAGTGAGTGATTGTATTGAATAATGTCCATAAAATACTTATCCAAGCATAAGCATTTTATGAAGTCATTCTAATGGAAACCGGCTTAAAATTTGAAGAAAATGAAAAATTCCAATCGATTTAATATTTCAGGAATTTTCTATTTTATGCTTCGTTTTAAAAAAAGATAAATTCACTAATAAAATTGGAATCGACAAGTAAAACACATGAAAACACATGATTAAGCCTTTTTTAAAACTTATTTATTTATAATTATACAAACTATATGTTTTTATACATCACTAAAGATATGCATTGGAAGTGTACATTAAAAATAAATCCGATTGTGTATTAAAAATTCTGATTTTCTTTGTTTACATATATTTTTGAACACAGCTCTGTTTGTATGCCTTTTTGAAAGTGTCCTTTTAATTTGTTTTTAAATTATTGAACATTTTGGAAGTAAGACGATATGCTATTGTTTGGATTGAACTTGTATTTTAGTCATCTTCTTTTTAGTTAAAGCTGAAAATGTAGAGAAATCATTAGTGATTGAAATCAAAATGGCTCCTATTTATGCGATGGAGCCGATTTATGGCATCAATAACATAATTGCCTATAAGAAAGATAAAAGTTACCAAATAAGTTGTCTGCGCCTTACAATTTTACGTTAAGTGGCTAAATTTTATATTGTTTCCACTAAATTGATTCCACTTAATGGCTTAAATAAGTATTTAACCTGTATATACACCGGTTTAAGAAACTATTATATATCGTTAAGTTAGTCCAGAGATTAAGGTCGTCAGTTTTGGCTTTTTAGCATTCTGTAATGTAATACCCTTGCAGAGCGCATTATATATTCAGTCAGAAGCTTTTGACGCTGAGAAGAAGGCACCTCAGACCCTAAAAAGTATATATGTATGTATATACGTGATCACCCTCACCATCTGAATCGATCTAGACATGTACGACTTTTAAACAGTCTGTTTTTATGCAAACGAGTCTCTGACATCTAAAGCTATCCTACTGAAACTCACCAAAAGTTGTGCAGATTTTGCAGATCGTATATATATATGTAGATATTCAGTCTTTTTTGTTTTCTTAGTCTTTTAATTTGGTGAAAGGAGTCTTATTCGGAAATGAGTGGGATAGTACCAGTGGTACTTAAACGAAATGGATTGATTTTTAGATCTCTTAAAAAACAGGTTATCCCTAAATTGAGGAATTCGACTTTGTACAAGCAGTGTTTGGGTGGAAATATATTCATATACATTTTACGCAAGGGGTGGCGATAAGATGTACTCTTCAGTACTTCTCGAGATCTGTCATATTTTCCATTAATTATACACTTTGCTCGTAGAGTAAAAGCGATATTTGTTGAAAAAGTCACACAAAATGAAGGAAGCTCTTGCGACCCCATAGGGTAAACATATTCTTGGTCGGGATCATCAGGCTAGTCGATCTATGTCTGTCTTCCGTTCGTAAGAACATCGAGATCTCGCGGATGAAATTTGTAAAAAGTGTAAAAAGAAACTTTGTAGCGTTTTAAAGGTAAAGCAATATCGTTGTAAGCTTTGGATTGTGGTAAACAGCGAATTCTGATTTTTATAATTTTCCCTTAAGAACGTGTTCCCCTCCTTAACCAGCATAGTATCCAATACAGGCACCTTAGCCAAAGCCGACACCACCCAACGCCTGCACCTTACTCAATGCCGAACATGGTGCACTATCAGCAGAAAATGACATCGCATCAGGCGCATCCTCATTTGTGACGCCACCTCGGCAATGGAAGGGCAATGCATCGGATATCTGAGTACCTAAATACAGCGTTCTCTCTTGTTTTATATGTATATTGTCTATGGCGGCTATTCGATTAAATTTCCCTTTTGATTGGCTGACTGTTTGGAACTGCCTACCGATTTTTATGAAATTTAGTAAAATTAACTATGCTTTTATAAAAAAAAAATTTATAATAAAAAACAACCTCGATTTTATTTTGTTCCTATACATTTTTAATATATTTTTTATCTTTACAATTCGTCGTTAGATTTCTGTTCACAATCGTAGTACAAAACAGCGGTGTTGTAATTTTTGTTCCGCAGTTTTTGTGGTCTTTCTTATGAGAGCTATTAAATACATTATTGGTTGTCCGATGCGGTCCGTTCGGACATACTCTATTCCTTCAAGAACTACATAACTTTTCGTAAAATTTTAGCTTAATAGCTTTACAACTGAGATAGGTAACTTTACAAGCTATATCACCTCAGGGGCTGACCAAGGATTTGGGTTCTGAGGTGTCTCCTTCGCCTCGCAAACTTCTGACTGAAATTAATATACCGTCTGAAAGGGAATGAAATTGTGAGTAATAAGGTGCTGCCATGAACTGGGCCTAAAAAAATCACGCATATTAAGAAAAAAGGCACACAGTTTAAATTACTCCAAATACTATCTGAAATTAAATATCCTGACTATACCGGACATCTCTGGAATAAGTTCTCGGTCTATTTTATACACTAGTTTAATTTAAAATTAATGTAGCTATGCACACTGGTGGCCTGCAGAATTCATTAACAAGAACCAATACGTAATATAGCGCCTGAACGGTCGTTAAGCAGCGCCTCGCTAGAAGATGTCCTAGCCTCGCTTTTAGGATTGCCCACTACCTCCATATCCAGCCAGAACAGCAATAACTGCAACAACCACAGAGCCAAAGCCGCTTCAGAGACCTCAGGTATGACCCTGTAAGTTAATGTTTCGATACTTAAAAAATATCAAAATGCAATAAAGGAAGTATTAGAAAGACAAAGTTTTAACACCTTTGCAGTTATAACTAGGAGCAGTATATAATTATTTTAACTTGTATCTATACCATACAAACTTTTATAAAAACAATTTTATATTAAATAACACGTTTTTCTCATAATGGTCGTCATAAAAATATAAAGGGGTACGTCGAATTTCATTTGCTTTAAATTTTTCTCTCATTTTTATACTCTTGCAGAAGATTTATAATTTTAGTCAGAGGTTTGCCACACAGTGAAGAAGACACCTTAGACCTTAGTACTTATATTTTTAATCAGCATCACCATCTGAATCGATCTAGACGTGCTCTTTATGACCAAAGAGTCTCTTTGGTGTGGTATCACCGCCAAATGTGTGATTCTACCTTAATTTTATGAGGACGAGCCATCGGAGTCACTTACCTAAAATAGGTCACATGTTATCGTTCGACAATGGTATTCCATTAAAAGACTTAATATTCAAAAATCACGGGCGTTTGAAAGAAAACATTTTCATTTTAATTACATTAATTCTATATAGATTTTTTGATTGTATTATACTAGAGGTCCTGTGACCGCTTCGCTGGTCAACACAATTTAACAAAATTGACTGATTGAAAATATTAAAAAGCTTAACTTTGTTCAAGATTTAGGCGAATGCGGTCTAAAGAAACATGCAGAACTGATACGTCAAGCAATAAAGCCTGATAATAAAATTAAGGAGTTGGTTCTTAAGTTCACAGGCTTTTCGAGCAACAACTCGGAATTTAAGGAGAATTATGAGTATTCTGCATTGTCAACCGAGCCGTAATACGGGTTGCCTCACTTGCTCTCCTGATTGAGAAGCACAAAGTCGACCCATACTAACGCCGCCTAACTCCTTCAGTCCTTTTATTTGCAGTATTTCGTAGTCTTCTTGAATTACGGCTTTGTCGGGAAAGATTCGATCGTCTTGGTTGCGGCATTATTAATTAAACTTCACTTCACTTCAATTCACCAAAACCCCAAATAACTTCACTTCACTTGAATCCACAATTCACAAAAAATGAGTTAAAATGCTATGGTAACGTGTGCTTGTCAGTGTGATGATGTAATGACTCAGTTTATATGCGGTTTTTGGTATGTCGAACAGAATAAAAAGTATCCTATGTCCTATTCCTGGCACTAAGCCTACCAAGTGAAAGAGTACCAGACAGACAGACAGAGTTACTTTCACATTTATAATATTAGTATGGAAGTATGGATACTGGGTGCAATAACTACACACCTTTTGGTAAAATTTCAGCAAGATAGCTTCAAAACTGAGAGACTAGTTAACATACATAGAATACGGCAGACAGACAGACGTACGCGTCGAGTTCGATTCAGATCGTGATGCCGATCAAGAATGTATGTATGTCCTTTATGGGGTTTGAGGCGACTTCTTCACTGCGTTGCAAACTTGTAACTTAAACTATTAGACCCACTTGCAAGGGTATAAATAAATTTAATCTGAAACAAGATTGAAACTTTTAAACAAATTCAACGGTGATTTTATCTTTACAAAGAATTCAGAGATGAGTATTAGAGATCGACTTTTTCATATTCGACATATCTGCAAGCTGTTCTTCAGTCCGGGATTTGGTTGATCCCAAATACTCCCTCAGCAAATCTTTCTCTACGAAGAAATGTTTGTTTATTTGCCTCATGGCAGCAGCATTATCGACGTGAAGGATCGGGAGTCCTATCATTCGATTTCCCAAAAAAATATTTTTAGCCAAATTATTTTATTTGCAGCTTCATTGGCTGCAACGATCTCAGCCTCTGTAGTGGAAATGAAATGGCCATTTTTGCCTGTCTTTGACTTTTCCGTGGCAAACATCCCTGATGTAGATTGACAAATTTTTAGTCCGTCTTTTTGTTTCTTGATTTCGAGTCCCAAGAAGCGCTCAGCCTTGCTTGAGTCAATTTTAAATTCAGATTTGAACTCGTCCAAAAATTCTTCTAAACCCATATTATCTGTTGCTGCAGCGAGTCCGTTATCTACGTAAACAACGAGTAGAATCTTTTTGCATCCTTCGGGCTTTGTAATATTTCCCCACTTGACGGGAGGCATTAAAATCTCTGGAGATTTTAGTCAATGTTCCAAGTTTCATTTTGATGTAAGAAGTCATTTCTCATTGCATTTTTTCACTCGATGTTGCTGTTGATGGCTTCGTGGAAGGAATCTGTGCTCTCCATCACAAAATTCTCGGATGCTTCAACATAGTCAAAGAGATGTTCTGTTTTTGACTTCGAACGATCCCTCACCCGCACCGATTGCATTCTTTTCTTATTGTTTCCTTCGTGAAACCTTGTTTCTCATGCGGTTTCGTAATTGCCATTGTTCCTAATTCGGTTGTGTTTTCTTTCGAGTCTCCCTACTGAAGTGTATCTTTGTCCTATTTCTGGTTCTGGAATTTCGATTCCGTCTCCTTCTTTCTTGTCTTAATTCTCGCTCTGGTCCGAACTCACATCTTCTGTTTCCTTGTCTTCTACGAAATACTTGGATCTTTCATTTTGGAAAGGTAGGTTGACACTTGATTTACAATTGCCGAATTTTTCTTGAAATTTTACATCCCTAGACACAATTACTTTTTGCTTTTCTGGTAAGTAAAGACTTTATCTTTCATCGACGTCGTAACCCACCGCCACTGTTTTGTAAGTAATATTAGCATCTTGAAGAATTTCCTTCACTCCTGTTCAGTGAAATTCTCCTCCATGATCGCTGAGGAATTCCCATATTGTATACCTTTGCATGGGTCGCATCACGTCATTGACTCCTAAACCGTAAACCTGGTGAAAGATCCATAAAAACTATAATATTAATCATCGCTGGTTTCCTTGTTCCAATTGGCAATCGATGCGCCTTCCAAGGATGCAAGGGTCGCAAAAGCTACTCTGAGCTTGACTTTGAAGCCCATTCCTCTTTTCAGCATGTCCTTGAAGTGGTTCTTGTCTTGATGTCCCCACCTCTTGTGGTAAAGTTGGAGAATTGAAGTTCCTGACGTTGCGACGTTGACATTGACGCTTCGTAGAGTATTTCTTCGACTTCTCTGGCCCCAAATAGGGCAATTTTGTCGATAATTTTTATTTCGGCTAATTAAAGAATTAGAATGAATCCACTTGAATCCGGTAAGTTCGACTCCACGAAAGACAACGGGCTCCTTGTTAATACAGTGAATTACCACTACGTTTTATGAGCTACACATTTGTAGACCGGTCACAAACATTGATTTTTTTGTATTACATACCTTGAAGATAATAAAAAGCCAAACTTTTAATAAATTTAATAAAAATGGTAAATTTCCGAGGAACTCGAAATCAATGTGCGCAAAAAGAAAGAATTTTGTAAAGCTCTTTGCAAAATCATATGGTGTGTTTGTCCGTTCACAGCTTATGATTAGCTGATCGTAGACCTATTAAAAAGCTTGGATAAATCTAATCAAAGCATCTGTTATCGACTTGTGAAAAAATATCATCGCTTTTTTAAAGTTGAAAATTTGAATTAAATGCCGCTAGCGAGCCCAAATCGCCCACTATGCGTTGTCGACTTCTGAGTTTACCTTTGCTGCAAACTTGTCATCGTGAACTGAGACAAAAGTCAATGTTGGTTCATTCTTCCACAATATAAAGTTCCTGAGCCAGTAGTCCTTTTTTTTGAAGTAGTGACAGGTATCAAAACTCCGACCAGATGCTTCTGAATTCTGTCGGTGCTCCGTTTTTGCTGTGGCAGTAAATGCCTGGTCCTCCTTTTAATTTTCTTTGGTCTAAAATTCCTTTTAAACATGACAATTTGATAATTAGTAATCGAAAGTTTTTCTTTTTTTTGAAGTGAAACTTCTTTAGGCGCGTTATGGATTTTCGGGGACGGAGTAAAACCGATTCATGACCGTCACGAAAATTACCGTCACGAAAATTGCCGTCACGAAAAAGCGAGGATCCCCATCCCTTTCTAACCGCTGACGAACGATGTCTCTATCCTCCTCTATCCTTTCTCGCTCTCAGCGCGCTCGCACAAAGTTGCAGTTGAAAAAGGGGTGAGAGGTGTGAATGTCAAAAGGAATTCAAATCGAACAGGTTGCATACAGATATTAATTGGCACCATAATTTTTATCCATTTTATTTGACCTAGAAATGAAAACACATATCGATATGTATTTGTCTTCTTCTTCTTCTCAATCGGTTTGTTAACTTTTGAGAGTCGCCAGCACATTTCGAGACCTCTAAAATGAAGCGTCTAATAAGGCTTTTATTCGGTTTCCTACAGAATTTCAATTTTAACAAGAAAGGAAGCTAGCTTCGGCAAGCCGAAGCTTATATACCCTTGCAGTCATCAAATATGTCGAACTAAATACAAAAAGGCTAAACAGTATCGAAGCTATGACGATTTTTCTATTCATTTTCCGTATTTTCGACTATTGTTCAAATGACGACTATATGATATAGTCGTCCGATTTTGATCAAATTTAATTCGTAATTCAAGAGTCGTAAGAAAACTCTATATTCCAAAAATCATACTTGTCTGATAAAAAAACAACGATGTTATAAATTTGTTTCCATTATTTCGATATAAATTTTTCGATCTTTCCTATGGCAGCTATAAGATATAGATGACCGATTTTTATGAAACTTTTTTCTCAATATAAACGTTGTTAAAAAACTTGATATTCAAAAAATCATGGGATAAAAAACAACGATGTTATCAATTTATTTCCATTAATTCTATATATAATTTTCGATCTCTCCTATGGCAGCTATATGATAGAGTTATCCGATTTTGATCAAATTTAATCCGAAATTCAATAACAGTTAGAAAACGCCATCTTGAAGAATTCAAGTAGATCTGACGAAAAACACCGGCGTGAGAATTTTTCATTTCATTCCCTCGTATGGGAGCTATCCTTTATAGTCGGCCGATCCGGCCCGTTCCGACTTATATACTGCGTGCAATAACTACACACCTTTTGGGAAAGTTTCAGCAAGATAGCTTTAAAACTGAGAGACTAGTTTGCGCGGAAACGGACAGACGGACAGATGGACAGACGGACAGACGGACAGACGTACAGACGTATTCCGATTCTGCTCGTGATGCTGATCAAGAATATATATACTTTATGGGGTCTGAGGTGTCTCCTTCACTGCGTAGCAAACTTCTGACTGAAATTATAATACCCTTTTGCTCTGCAAGTGTATAAAAATGAGTAGTGATGAAGAAGTTTCACTTCTGTCGTGCGTAGGCTGGACACACCCTTTTTTTTTTTTTTTTGGTCAGGAGCATTTTATTTTGACGGCACGTTTCAAAGGATTTTGAAAAAACATGCAGCGAAACTTTCCCAAAAGTTGTGTAGTTATTGCACGCAGTCGGAACGGGCCGGATCGGGCGACTATATCGGATTACCCCCAATACGAGAGATTGAAAAAAAATTATTTCTCCGGCGTTTTTCATCATATCGACTTGATTTCTCTAGATGGTGATTTTAACTACTGCCAAATTTCGAATTAAATTTTATCAAAATCGGATAACTCTATTACGAGGTGTGTTCAGAAAGTATCGCGAATTTTGATATTCGCGAATATCTATTTTGTCCCCTTTAAAGTAATCCCCATGAGATATTATGCACTTGTGCCAAAGTTTTCTCCAATCTTCAAAAAATCTTTTTTTTATCTTGTTCAGCTCCTCCTTCGATGCCGTCTTTATCTCGTCAAGCGTAGCGTAACGTCGTCCTTTCATGGGCCTCTTCAGTTTAGGAAACAAGAAAAAGTCACAGGGGGCCAGATCTGGGGAATACGGTGGCTGCGGCATCATTAGTCACTAATGATTAGTGTGTTGTTTTTGGCCAAAAAGTCGCGCACAAGCCACGATGTGTGAGCAAAAGCCAATTTTTGTTCTTCCACAAATAACTTGCAGGTAATATTCCTTATTGACCGTTCTTCCCTGTGGCAAGAACTCGTGATGCACCACGCCCCTGCAATCGAAGAAAACTGTCAGCAAGACTTTCACATTTGACCGAACTTGAAGTGCTCGGGCGTCCGGCACGCTCTTCGTCGTTCACATCTTCTCGGCCTTCTGAGAACATTTTGTACCACCGATAAACGTTGCTTCGGTCCAAGGTAACTTCTCCGTATGCCACAGTCGACATTCGGAATGCATCCACGCACTTAATTTCGTTTTTCACACAAAATTTGATACAGGTTCTTTGATCCATTTTTTTGAATAGGTAAAAATCGAAGACGATCCAAAACACGTGCAAACAAAGAAGCTGTCAACAATTAAGTGAACATTCAAAATGGCCGAGCCTCTCGGCATAAGTGAGAGACATGAGTACCAACATAGCGCCACAATAAAATCGAAATTCGATACGAGGTATCCCGCGAAAATTCAAAATTCGCAATACTTTTTGAACACAACTCGTATTTAGCTGGCATAGGAAATATCGAAAAATACACATAAATAAATAAAATCTGTTTTTTTTAATTCCTTTGAACCGAGAAAAAAATTTTGTAAAAGTCGGGCAACTATATCATATAGTTGCCAGAGGAAAGAACGAAAAATATATATATTAATTATAAAAAACAAAAAAGGAAGCTAGCTTCGGCAAGCCGAAGCTTATATACCCTTGCAGTCATCAAATATGTCGATCAAAATGCATAAGGGCTAAACAACATAGAAATTATGACGATTTTTCTCTTCATTTTCCATATTTTCGACTATTGTTCGTATGGCAGCTATATGATATAGTTGTCTGATTTTGATGAAATTTAATATGTAATTCAATAGTAGTTAAAAAACTCTATATTCCAAAAATTATGCTTGCCTGATGAAAAACAACGATGTCATAATTTTATTTCCCGTATTTCCGCTATATTATAACGTTGTCGGATTTTAATGAAATGTTTTTCACGATTCAAGGGTTATTAAAAAAATCGATGTTTTGAAAATCATGCTCGTGGGATTAAATACAACGACTTTATAATTTTTTTCCATTGTCTATATATATATTTGTCGATCTTTTGTATGGCAGCTATATGATACAGTTATTCGATTTTAATAAAATTTTATTAAAAATTCGATTATGGTTAGAAAACGCCATCTGGAAAAAATCAAGTCGATCTGATATAAAACAACGGCGTGAAAATTTTTTATTTCATTCTCTCGTATGGGAGCTATCCGATATAGTCGGCCGATCCGGCCCGTTCTGACTTATATACTGCGTGCAATAACTACAAAAAGTTTCAGCAAGGTAGCCTTAAAACTGAGAGACTAGTTTGCGCAGAAACGGACAGGAGGACAGACGTACAGACGTACAGTAGAATCCTGTTATAACGACTCCGCTTATAGTGTCCGTCTTGGTATTGCGACGAAAACTCGATGGCTTGATTGGTCCCCAGACAGACTTATACACTTATATCCTTTTGCTTAGTGCGTTTTGCGAGTATAACGACGAAAACTCGTCGGTCCCTTGAAAGTCGCTATAAGCGGACTCTACTGTATTTGTTTTTTCCACAACCGTGATTTTTAGAAAATAAATTTTTTTAAATATCCTTTAAAAAATTTTTTTTTTTAAATCGGACAACTAACATATATATACCATAGGGAAGATCGAAAAATTTATATAGAATTAACGCAAATTAAGGGGTTATATCCAGTTGCGTTTTGAAAAAATCGAAATTTTTTTTTTGCCTATTTTGAATGTATATATATCTAAGAAGATTATCTGAAAATTTCAAAGTATTCCGGAATAGTATTGGAGTAATCAGTGTATTTGTAAAGACGTCTCCCATGTAGTTCAACTAGTAGTCAAAACTTTAAATGCGTTTTTCTCGAAACTATGTCTTCAAAGTCGGTGAGGAAAATTTCTCAGAGACGGCTTGACCGATTGACTTGAAACTTTCACATTCTCTTCTTAGATATTTTTTTCAGGTAATGAGACTTGGAATTTCGGCTCCGACAAAAATTTCGATTTTTTTAGCCACTTCAAAGTTGAAATTTTTGTGCCAAAAACAAAGTTTTATGTTTGGGAAGCCGCCATTATGTCAAAAATCAAAATTTTGAAAATCCCAAGTCTCATTACCAGCATTTGTCTATTCTTTACGTAATCCTTCTGGTTTTTTGTATTTCTGATCATTTGGACCGGAGATATTTTCCTCACCGCAAAACCCTTTTTTGAAGTGGACCCTCGGGAGATCCTCTACAGGACCGACGGAGTCCAAAAATTTTTTTTAAATGTATTCTAAAACCAGAAAAAATTACCTATCTTTTCATATATAACACGTATACATTCAATAAATAGCCTCTCCAAAAATAATTTTCAAAAAAGCTCATTTTTTTGGCCTCGCAACTGGATATAACCCCTTAACAGAAGAAAAATGACAAAATCGTTGTTTTCATCAAAAATTATGACTCTTGAATTTCGCATTAAATTTCATAAAAATCGGACGACTGCTAGCTAGCTTCCTTTCTTGTTTTCTTTGACTTTAGACTGAACAAAACGTTACTGGGCCCATAACCTTTTAAAACTTTCGTCTCTTTATATTTTTAGCCCTGCAAATTAACCTCGTTTCTCTAAAAAATAAATACTTGTCTATTTACTCTCTTTAACAGCTTTTAGGATATAGGTTTATTTTGATGCGATACAATGGATTGAATTTGAAACATTTATCCTCCTCCTTCTACTTTATATACTGAACAACAAATACAATGAGATCATCTTCTTTCTTCCTAACAGAAGCAGACGCAGCTAGTCGTCAGCAGCTGGATGTGCAATTGATGGACGAGCAGCAGAGAATACGTCGTTATAGCGAGGGCGACGCCCCCAACAGAAAGAAAAGGCTGCCAAGGACCAATCGCACTCACAGTCCAATTGCCAGTCAGCTGGAGCGAAAACTGATGGACAGCGAGATGCCCCAGAAAGAAGCCGTCGGGTCTCGGCGGCCGACTCCGCGTCGGTCAAAACACAGCCGGAAGTGGAAAACGGAGGCAAGCTCAATGGGGAAAATAAAGAGGGATCGGGACAACAGATCCGCTGCCGGAACACAAAGTGCAGCCAAAGTGCCTCTCCGGGCGATGCAAGGAAGCTTTACAAGTCATGCCACAACTGCACCCATCTATACTGCTCGCGGGAGTGCCGACGAGCCCACTGGGAGAAGCACCGGAAGGCGTGTCTGCACTCTCGCGCGTCCAACCTGTGCCGCCAGGTGCTGGCCACCTGCAAGGACGACCCTGACTCACAGCGCCACCTCAGTCTCCTGGCGCGGAAGGGCAGCATCTCCCAAGGACGGGGCGTTGTGCGGGTGCTCTTTCGCAGCGCCGAGGCGGCAGAGGGCTTCATTAAGAAGGGATTCCAGTGCATGGGGGAGGCCTCCTTCGTGCGCTGGCCCGACCTTATGCCCGCAGAGATGGGTCTGGAGCTGTACTCAGAGCTCCTCAAACTCAGCACGGAGTACAAGCCGGAAACAAAGATGCTGATCTACGTGGCGATTTGCGTGGTGTCCGAGGCGCCGGGCATGGGCCAGGCACCTGTGCGCTGGGAGCGCCAGCTGGTCAGTCGCTGCGCCAAACTCAAGCTCTGCAAGCCGGTGCTGGCCGAGCTGGAGAAAACACAATCGGCTCTCCAGCAGCCGGTGTTGGTAGCTCCAGTGCCGGAGCGTACGGAAATCCTGATTCTCACGTTCAACCCCGGGCAGCGCTCGTTGTGCGGCAACCGTGAGCGGATCCTGTCCAACATTGTGGACATCCTGTCCAGGCGCGGCGTCATGCTGCGCAAGCACTACCCGGAGGTCTTTCAGCGCCTGCAGACCTACACGGAGGGCCAGAGTGACAAGTTCAGCCCGGTGACGCTGCATCCGCGGGACTCGCAGACCGGCGAAAGCTTTGTTTGCATTATTATGCCAGTCTACACGGACAGCGAGTTCATCAAGCTCCCTTCAGCGGCTGAGAGCGGCAATAGGGTGAACACCATCGACGTGGGAACTCCAGCGGCTCTTGCCCACCTGGAGAGTTGATCAAGGGCCGGCGAAAACAATTGCAGCTACAGCAAAAAACATCAGAGTGGGGACTGCTCGCTGCTTCACAAATACGCTTTGGGATGTGGCATGGAGAGTACCCGAATGTGACGCATTTTCTTACCCATGTTCTTTAAAAACTTCAAAAACTTCATTCCTTTCTTTTTGATTTCATTAATTTGGTATACTTACAATCAATGAGGTTCCAATCGGCTTTTGGGTTGTGGATAATTCCATAACGCATAAATAATACTTAATTGGGGTGTTTTTATACTGCTAAAAAAATTGCAATTAACTTGATCAAGTTTAAAAACCAGCATGCGAATTCAAATATTGTATGTTATACTCGAATTCCGTCTTTAAAAATAAGCGAGAGCTGCGTCAAGAAGGTAAGAACGGATGTCCCCCAAAAACTATAACATCATATTAGAAAAATTAAAAAAACGAGGCTGACTCACATGGCTATTTAAAATCACCTAGTAATGCTGATCAAGACTATATATGCTTTAAAGGGTTGAAAATGGCTCTTTCAAGTTGATTTACAGTGAATTCTTTAATAAAAAGATATAATGTAGTGAACATTTTTAATGTACAAAACCTACATGTTTATATGTTTTATCTTTAACTTCAATCTCTTAAACTATACAGTTCTTTAAAATTTGTACTTGTTTAAATATTGCTAGCCTTATCTAGAATTCTAGTTTTTTATATTACTGCTGGAATATTTTCGAATTGTGGTTATTTCACTAAGAACCATTTTTGTGCAATATTGGCGAAAACGATTTTTTTTACGCCAGTGCAATATATTTTTATTACTTTGCCAAAAAAAATTGAAAAATTTCTTTTAGCCCAAATTAGTAAATGCTTGTACCACTTGTAAATTATTTCTTTATTTTGATTTATTTAAGTCTATTTTGCTGGGTAACGAACTATCCCAATACAACTTCACTGAGACACAGCGAAACATACAGCAAGAAATAGAGTAAGATGGAGAAATCCAGTCGAGGCGCTATGCTCCCAGGTGGAGTTATAAAGAAAAAAAAAATTGATCTATGAATGATTTGTTATTTGCATAGGTTTACAGTACATCCAAATGAGTTGTTTAGGCGAGCAATTACCTACATATGTGTTCGTGCAGATTTTTGGATAATTATTATTAACTGCTAAGATATATTATTTTATTTGGTTTTCAATATACTGTCTGCATAAGATTTCTGATACTTTAATATTTTATTAATATTTGTATATTGAACGAAAAATGATTTTGCTATGTTATGTTGGTAATCTAATTATTGACCTTGTATAAACTAGGAAAAAGAAAATTGACATGTGACGTGGGAAGTTGCACTTAGGTTGAAATAACTTATTAAAGTAATACTAGATAATATAATTTCAATAAAAAAAATATCGTATTCTTAGGTATGCAAAGAAACCTTAAAGAAATAAAAAAAAAAATTGTTTGGAATCCACATAAACAGTGAAAAATGTAAAAATTATTATTAAGATTTTGTAGTTTTGGCCTGCGCTGGTTTACCCTATGCTTTTCCTATAAAAAATACCCAAACAAATTGCTATAACACAATTACCGCTAACTACCGATTCTAAGTTACGGAAGGAATAGTTGATACCATAATAGTGTATACACCCGCATTGCCAAAAAGACAGATTAAGGAGAAATAAATGCAGGGGTACAAAATTTCTATATTATTCAATAATTTTTTTGTTATAAAAATAAAAAGGGATGTTTGTTAATTTTTTTTTTGGTTTTGAGTACGAAACTTGACAACAAAAGTTGAATAATCCTTAAATTAAAAATATCAAGACAGAAATCTGTTTGGCACTTATAACCATGACGTTAAAAGTTATTATAACATGATAACATGAGTACGACGTTGATATACTGTTGCAACAAAAATTGGTTCCAATTTACAATAAGCACATAAGTAGATTGACAAACAAATTTAGTATTATGAAGAGAATAATTTTTTGTTTTTTGTTTCTGAGTAAAAGACTTAAGTGAAAATTTTGTTATATTTCAACTTGTCTTAAAATGTATAGTTTAGGCCCATTATTATGTCAAGCCGTTTCTGCCGTGACCTAACTAAAATATATATAATAATAATTGTTATATAAATAATATAAAAAAACTAGATTACATTTGCTATATGCTAATTTGGCTTGTTCATTGCCATTCCATTAACAATGACAAATGTCTCATTCAACAGTCATGAAGTCGAAAGTTTTTAAAACAGTAAGGGAAATTCTTTCGACCCTATAAAGTATAAATTCTAGATCAGTTCTGTCTTCCACAAAAATCTTGTTGCATTTGTCAATTTATAGGTTAAAGGTTGAACGTTAAGCAAGAAAGCAAGCTAGCTTTGGTGAACCGAAGCTTATATGCCCTTGCATATATCATAGTTTCCCGATTTTTATGAAATTTTTTTCTTAATTTAAGTGCAGTCAAAAAACTAGAAACTCTAAAAATCATGTCAATATGATTAAAAATACGTAGAGCACCTATGTGATATAGTTATCCGATTTGGACAAAATTTGATCCGAAATTCAATAGTAGTTAAAAACATCATCTGGAAGAAATCAAGTCGATACTATAAAAAACAACGGCGTGATAATTGTAGTCGCCCCTATCCGTTCCGTCTTATATAATACACTGCGTGCAATAATTACACAACTTTTGTGAAAGTTTTAGCAAGATGGCTTTAAAACTGAGATTTCGATTCAGATCGTCATGCTGATCAAGAATATACATACTTTATGGGGTCTGAGGTGTCTCCTTCACTGCGTTGCAAACCTGATGTATTAAAAATACCATCTCCTCTGTATTTATTTTAGCCATCAGCGTGTTGGATAACAAGTATCTACCTACATAGTCAATCTCAATGTTGTAGCTTTTATAATTTTTAAAATTTAGTCGCCTTGTTGAAATGAAATTGATTTTTTAATTTATAGGTCACTAATAGGATGTTTTAAGCTTGGTTTCGACTATATTGTTGTTAAAGTCGTTAAATCAGTTCTGAGCGAATCTAGTGATAGATCGAATTGAATCACCATTGAGCAGTTTTGGAACTTACTTCGCTGCCATACGTTCAGGGGTGGACGGGGGGTCCGGACCCCCCCAAAATCTCAGACTTTTTCAAATTTCCTTACAGCACACGGCTTTTCAACCATAAAAACTAAAATTTTTTTTGGTCGGACCCCCCAAAGGAACAAATTTTTTGATCGGACCCCCCAAATGTAAAATTTTTTGATCGGACCCCCCAAACAACAAAAATTTTTCGATGTTCAAAACATCCATTAAAATATGTATTATGACAGCTCCTGTTGGAGCTCGGCTATCTGATACCCGGGAGTCAGCGCTGAAACAAAGAAATTTGAACAACGCCATTACCTGACTATTTCGTTCGCTGCGGGCTTCACACTAGAATCTCCATATTTAATCCCAATATTGTAGCTCTTATACACTGCCCCGCAACTGAATAGGTTCATGATCTCAGAGGAAGTAATTTGTCTATAATTTCTAAACCAGTGTACCGATTTCCAAAATTTTTTTTTCTTTAACTCTTGAATCATTTTATAATAAAATGCTGAAGAAGGTTTTTCAAAAACATATTATTTATTCCTTATTTTATTTATTCTTCTGAAAGGTTAACAAAATGCATGATTTTTTTCGGTCATCTGAATAGGTTCAACCTAAAACAATTAAAATTATTTAAGTAACTAAGGATAATATTCATATTTTTTGAACTTAGCTGATACTTATGAACATTTTTAAAGTACATTTTACTAATTTTAATAAAAAGTGAACCCTCCGTTGTCCGATATAACATCATATACACGACCGGGAAGCGAGCTATACGAATTGTGCAGTATTTGCAGTGAAATTGTTGTCCAGGCTATTTTAATTGCCTTAACTAAAGTTTTTTTGCAATAAAATTACCTGCCTCCTTCATATATCTTGCGCGATAGCAACCCCCATACGATTTCGATTATATTAAGGTCAGGTGAATATGGGGGCCATTCAAGTAAATCCACATTTTGAGCCTTAATCCACTCTTTTACCACCCTAGCTGTATGATGGGAGCGTTATCGTACTGGTAAGACCATTTGATAAAGTGAAAAGTACTTAAATAATCAGGAAACGCAGCCTTTATGATAGATTTGTAGGTTTCCGCGCTCGTTTTATAAGTAACAAATTAAAGGTCGCAAGTGCCAAAGACTGATACCGACCCCCACACCATTACCCCACCCTCACAGCTATGACAACGGCTAAGGAAATGCTCTTCCTTTCGAAGATCGTGATAATAATAGTTGTAGCTATTGATTTACGCTTCTAAATTAAATTGATTTAGGTGTGGGAGTCGGTATCAGTCTTTGGCACTTGCGACCTTTAATTTGTTACTTATAAAACGAGCGCGGAAACCTACAAATCTATCATAAAGGCTGCGTTTCCTGATTATTTAAGTACTTTTCACTTTATCAAATGGTCTTACCAGTACGATAACGCTCCCATCATACAGCTAGGGTGGTAAAAGAGTGGATTAAGGCTCAAAATGTGGATTTACTTGAATGGCCCCCATATTCACCTGACCTTAATATAATCGAAATCGTATGGGGGTTGCTATCGCGCAAGATATATGAAGGAGGCAGGTAATTTTATTGCAAAAAAACTTTAGTTAAGGCAATTAAAATAGCCTGGACAACAATTTCACTGCAAATACTGCACAATTCGTATAGCTCGCTTCCCGGTCGTGTATATGATGTTATATCGGACAACGGAGGGTTCACTTTTTATTAAAATTAGTAAAATGTACTTTAAAAATGTTCATAAGTATCAGCTAAGTTCAAAAAATATGAATATTATCCTTAGTTACTTAAATAATTTTAATTGTTTTAGGTTGAACCTATTCAGATGACCGAAAAAAAATCATGCATTTTGTTAACCTTTCAGAAGAATAAATAAAATAAGGAATAAATAATATGTTTTTGAAAAACCTTCTTCAGCATTTTATTATAAAATGATTCAAGAGTTAAAGAAAAAAAAATTTTGGAAATCGGTACACTGGTTTAGAAATTATAGACAAATTACTTCCTCTGAGATCATGAACCTATTCAGTTGCGGGGCAGTGTAGTTTTCGAGATCTCATCTTTCGGATAGGCAGACTACTGACATCAATATATGGAAATAAATTATGGGGTCGCAAGTACTTCCTAACGTTCTATTCAACAAATTCAATCCACTCTTTTACTCGGCAGCGTTTTTGAAAATATATTATAGAATCAATTTTTACTAAGATGATATTACAACAAGTAAGGCAGCTAGCTTCGGCGAGCATTGCAGTCATCAAAAATGTCGAACAAAATACATGAAGGCCAAACAACATCAAAGATATGTCGATTTTTCTATAATGTTTATATATTTTCGACGATTGTTTATATCACAACTATATAATATAGTCGTCCGATTTTTATGAAATTTAATTAGAAATTCGATAGTAGAAAAACAAACTCCATCTGGTCAAGTCAATCAAGTCAAAAAGAACGGCGTGATCATTTTTATACCCTTGCAGAGCAAAAGGGTCTGTACGTCTGTCCGTCTGTCCGTCTGTCCGTCTGTCCATCTGTCCGTCTGTCCATCTGTCCGTTTCCGCGCAAACTAGTCTCTCAGTTTTAAAGCTATCTTAATGAAACATTCCCAAAAGGTGTGTAGTTATTGCACGCAGTATATAAGTTGGAACGGGCCGGATCGGCCGACTATATCGGATAGCTCCCATACAAGGGAATGAAATGAAAAATTCTCACGCCGCTGTTTTTCATCAGATCGACTTGAATTCTTCAAGATGGCGTTTTCTAACTGTTATTGAATTTCGGATTAAATTTGATTAAAATCGGATAACTCTATCATATAGCTGCCATAGGAGAGATCGAAAATTATATATAGAATTAATGGAAATATATTGATAACATCGTTGTTTTTTATCCCACGAGCATGATTTTTTGAATATCAAGTTTTTTAACAACGTTTATATTGAGAAAAAAGTTTCATAAAAATCGGTTGTCTATATCTTATAGCTGCCATAGGAAAGATCGAAAAATCTATATAGAAATAATGGAAATGAAATTATAACATCATTGTTTTTCATCAGACAAGTATGATTTTTGGAATATAGAGTTTTCTTACGCCTCTTGAATTACAAATTAAATTTGATCAAAATCGGACAACTATATCATATAGCTCCCATATGATCTATAGTCAAAAATATGGAAAATGAATAGAAAAATCGTCTTAGCTTCGATGTTGTCTAGCCTTTATGCGTTTTGTTCGACATATTTGATGACTGCAAGGGTATATAAGCTTCGGCTTGCCGAAGCTAGCTTCCTTTCTTGTTTTTCAATCTTTCGTATGGGACCGACTTATATACTGCGTGTAATAGCTACACAAGTTTTGGGAAAGTTTCAGCCAGATAGCTTTAAAACAGATAGACTAGACTAGACATAGAAATACAGACGTATTTCGATTGAGATCGTGATACTGATCAAGAATTTGGGGTCTGGGGTCTCTCCTTCAGTGCGTTGCAAACTTCTGACTGAAATTATAATACACTCTGCAAGGGTATAAAAAAAGGTGCAATCAATAAGTTCTCATTAGATGGTTTTTTCAGTTGGAAATCCCTAAAATGTAATCTTTTAAAAAATCGGAATCAGACTTTCAAAATACACGAAACCTAATCATTTAAAAATGATGGGAGGTCGAGGATTTTTGCAAAGCAGTAAGGTTTTCTTTTACTACCAGGTCTGCTCAGAGACCTGCGACATAGATATGAGAGTCAGTTTTTTCAGTACCAGGTATAAGTAAATACGTTATGTTACAAAGCGATAGAAATGTATGTCATCACTTGTTGTTTTAAACACTCAAAAAATTCCATTGTAATCACTGTTTTTTTTTTTAATTGCAGCGCGAAGCAAAACTTTTGTATTATGTTAAGTATACTCGTACATACATCAATATATACTTATATTTCAGACTATATAAGTGTTTTCAGAGTTATGCATACCAGTAAGGAAAACAATACTATTCTTAAATACAGATGTACATACATATATGCATAAAACTGTGTTGACTCTTCTAAAACTGTACAGCTTTTGAAACTGCTATCAAAAATGGGTTGGAACAGTGTATGAACCATATATATTTAATTAATGCCTATATCACATTTACCAATGTTTGCTGAAACAGTTGTGAAGTATTTATAATTAAATAAAATTAATTTGGAAAACAATAAATACATACACATATGCATTCAAACTAAAAAGAAAATTTGGTGCTTCTTTAGGTAAATTAATTTTTTATAAGCATTGTAAGATTAAATGTCGTAGATAATTCAAAAACCTCGATGGAGCCCTCCAGTGCAGAACCATTTTAAAAGGATTGGGTTAGTAAAAATTGTTATTTTATTCAAATATGTATATCAGTAGTATTATTTAATACTTACTTATAAGTTCATAATTTGTATTTAAATAGTTTTCATCTTATAATTAAACGCCTTGTATATATATATATATATATACGTATATATATATCCTGCGCATATTCTTACGTATTTTTTTTTTTTGGGTTCGCACGTTTCTTCACCGTCTTGTTATTTCCGTTAAATCCATTTAATTACAACTACAATTTGCATAAGGAAATAGTCTATAACACTTAAAGATACTATACCATATACATATATTAATACATGTACATATGCGCTTCATAATTATAATCGAAATATATTTTACAAGCTACCAAATAAATTATGTTTATTCGTTTGTTTAACGTAAAAAAGCGTTTTTGGGATTCGCCCAATTTTATAAAGCCTACAGGAAATTTAGAGTAAATTATGCGATGCCAAAATCGTCGTGCGAATAATGGAGCTTAGTTGGTCCACACAAAAACAGCTTTCCGCGATGTCTTTGCAACTAATGAAGGCGGTCATCGTAGCCTCCGGGAAAGTGTTGAGCAGTGTAAGCTCCTGCCTCATAGTCAGATGAAAGCTTTTGCTCGGCTAGCTCCGATAAGCTGCCGATCGCCTTGGCATTTGCAGTCGTTATACTTATCTATAACCCGCCAATTATCACCTCCTGTTGGGCTTCGTCATCCATGTCTGGAATCTCCTGCTTGTGTACTATCATTCCGTCGCTACTAGCCTGACGTGGAGCAGTTTGGCCGTACTTTTGGTGTATACCGCGGTGGCGCTTAAGTGCAAAACGATCAGCAAACGCCGCCGAGCAAATCTCGCATTTGTAGGGCTTCTCCCCGGAGTGCACCTTGGCATGGTTTTTAAGGTGCGCCGCTTGTGAAAAAGCCGATCCGCAAATTTCACATTTGTATGGCTTTTCGCCCGTATGAATTCGCCGATGGTTCCAAAGTGTAGCGTGGCGTGCAAATCCTTTGTCGCACACTCCGCACACATAGGGTCGTTCGCCGCTGTGCGTGCGTTCATGGTTCTTAAGATGTGGTGATTGTGAGAACTGCATGCCGCAGGTTTGACATCTAAATACAAATAAAAATTATGTAGAAAGAAAAATAAAATTGAGCAAGCAAAAAAGCGTTATTACTTGTAGGGCTTTTCACCGGTGTGGATGCGGGCATGATTTTTCAAATAAACGGCTTTCGCAAAAGCCAGTCCACAGATGCTGCACTTGTAGTTTTTTTCTCCGCTGTGCAGCTTTTTGTGTGACCACAGACTTGAGTAGCGTGAAAAAAGTCCACCACATATATTGCAACTGAAGGGTTTCGACGGATTCCTGCAGGACGAACACCTTGGTTTTGTTAGCGTAGGATTGGGTCGCACCAATATTTTATACTCACTCAGTTTTAACAGTAACTGATTGCTTTACCGACCCGCCTACCCCGCTATGTGCGGCGTGGGAGTGCTGCCCAACTAGCACCACTCCGGAGCCGTTGCACTTCTGGCATTTGGTCATCTGCTGGGAACTTCGTTTTTTTACAGGGTGATGGCCGGACCCACTACTCGGCTCCCTCTTGGGAGTTGTACCACCCGTCTGCGCGGCCACAATTTGCTGCAACTGTGCCTGCGCCTGAGGAGTTGTGGATATGATCTGCACGGGATGCGCCATTTGACCTGCCAAAGATAAGCGTTATCTTATGCCGCCTGTTTCGGTATACCAAGTTAAATACTCTACCGTCTTGCGCCACAAAAAGCTGCTGCTGTTGCTGTTGCTGTGCCGCCTGTTCGGCCTGCATGCAAGACTCGCAACGCGATTGCTTTGAACCTTTGCGCTTGGCCTGTTGTAGTAAGGGGCTTCCGCAGTTGATGCACTTGTTCGATTTGGACTCGTGTTGCTGCTGCTGCATCACAGACTGCTGCACTGGCTCTAGCGTGTCAGAAGAAACTATCTGTATCTGACCCATCTGTCCATTTCCGATGATGTTTTGGGCCTGAACCAGACCCTGGGCACTGACCACTGCTATTGACTCGCTGCCACTCTGCTGGGCGCTATGCTGTTGTTGCTGCTCTCCCTCTGTATGCATTCGCTTGTGGGCGTTAAGCAAAGCTAGGTGGGGAAACATATCCGAGCAAACGTCACACTTGAAGCTAATGTTAGATATAGTATTCTGCAACGAGGATATAAATTGACTTTGCCGATCTTCGCATAGACTGTCATCGCTTACTGCTGCAATAGGCTTGTTCTGATTGACGATCTGAATGCGACCTTGGGCGTCCACAGTAGCGATTCCTAGTGCTGCGCCCTGGTTGAGCGGCATCCCATTGACCAGGGCGTAGTTGTAGCCGCCCACCGGTTGAGCTATGTAGCACGTCTTGTTGTCATCCGTGGTGGCTAGCTGTGCAAGATTGACAGTTCCCCCATTGCCCTACGCAAGTCAACTGGCAATAGTAGAAATAACTCATATATATAGCAAAAACATTACTCACATTTGTTGTGTAGTAGAAGGTCGGCTGCTGATCTGGTTTTTGACCCTCGATTTTTGGTTGTTTGAGTATAGTGCCATCCGCTGTTTGATACTGAATAGTGGCCGGCTGCCCATTTATAGCATTTGTAAAAATTATATTTTTGGTGAGGTCTTCCATTGTGCCTACAAATCAATAAATCCAAGCATAATGTGTAATGTAATAAAAAATCTTCCACTATGTATTGTATATTTCAGCCACGCCGCGCTTTTCAACACTTAAACGCGCGACGCCAATTCTAAAGCGCACAAGCGAGATGGACATAGCGTACAGCATTTACCTACGAAAAACACTGATTAAAAATGGCGACGAAAAGACAAAAAAAAATGTATGTGACATAAAATTCATTGAACAGACAAGTGCAACAGCGCTTAACATGCTTAAGAAACATTAAATTATGGTGTTGACCAACTCGCAGGCCATTTTTATTCTGCCATCTTTGAATAAAACTATTTACCTTTTACGCAACCAGACCACACCAAAATATTCTCTCTGCCTGGTCTCCCAACGTAGATTCAAAACCTCCTCAACTGTTAATGATATTTTGGAGCACTTAAACTTTGTTTGGAATGAAAGCAATATATTTATTATTGTTTTTTCTTTCTCTAACAAATTCCAGCAGTATAACTTTCTGCCCGTTCGTTCTTACACTTGCTAAAGAGGGATGGATACAGAACACAACTTTCAGAGAAAGAGCAGTCGAACATTAGTTTACGTGTGAAGAAGTGTGGCCGTAGTTGTCCAAAGAATGAAAATACGGTTTGTTTGGTTTTACACCGAAAAATACCAAGACCATATTAAGGGCATTCCCTAAGGTGCTGTATCACTGGGAACTCAACAATTCATTTTTCACATATAATCCAATTCAAGAATTTTTGTTAAGAAGCTGCATAGTGTGGAGAATTGAACAGAGGTTCAGCTTTTCAGACATATTAAAATTTTTTGATCCTCAATAGTTTTTTATACATTCAATAGTATTTTGACCCTATCGATGGGCACTTCTTAAATTACTGACATAGAGAAATTTAAAAAAAAATTAATTATTCTAATTTAAAAAAATTCGTACCAAAATTTCTGTGTTCCCGCAACCTCTAAAGAGTCAGAGCGTATATTCAGCAAGATTGGATTCATTATAAGTAACCGGGGTTTCGTTTAAGGCGAATAATGCAGACATTTTGCTATTTTGACAAAGAAATGCATAAATACAACATTTTATTTTATTTTATTTCGTATGCTTTATTTCCTTAAAAAATTGTACTTTCATTTAAGCTACTGTTACAAATTTTTGTTTTTACAGAGTTTTAGCATAAAGCTGTACTTTTCAACTGAAATATTTTTACATATTTAATTTGTTTGTTATTTACAACATATATATTATCTTCAAGGAAAATTAGGAGACAAAACCTTGATCTGACACTTATTTGCTAGTTTAACTAATTTTACTGACTATGAATACAACATATTTTTTTAATTCTTATACAAATTACTTCAATTTTATTAATTTTTGTTGAAATATCTTATGTTTTATATTGATGATATGATAGAATAATTTTGACCTTTTCATTTCTGTTTGTAGTAATTTATAAAGCACTAAAAACCTTTATATAAAAAAATGAAATAAATATGCAAAATACTTTCGATACTATCGAATTTTCGCTATAAAAACATCGAAAATATCGAATGGCGCGACTATCGATAGTTTCCCAGCTCTAATGCATATCTGCAACAAAGCGAAATTGTTGATTTATTTTTATGTATTATAATGCAACAAACACAAAAACTTGACAATATACAACTAAATATAATATTTACCTGTTTATATATATAAATTGAATAAACTATACAATTTTTTTTGTTATTTATATTTGGATGAGAAACTGCACAACCAATTCAGATTACCACATTCACCGAATTGGCGTGAATAGTAATCAGCTGTTGAGTATTGGACAGAATTCTGAGTGACTAACACTTTTTATATAAAAAACAAAAGTTGCTGAACTGCATCAAAAAGATTTTAGACAGTTTTGCAACGCCCGTTGAAAAATAATTGAATTTAAACGGTATGATGCAGTTATTTTTTTTTTTTTTTTTTTTACGCGCGTAGTCTCACGGCCCACTTTCCCGCCCAACCGACCGAGGGGCGACCGCCGTGTAACGTACGGCACGATTCGCGATAATTTTGACGCGAAAGAAAAGTTAAGCTAAATTAAATTTTATTTTAATTTTAAATTTAAAATAATAAAATTCACGAGAGGAGAGTCGCGACTTAGAAAAATAAGAAAAAGGCCGAGGAAAATTAGGAGGAAGACAATAAGATCTAATTTTGAGCTAAAAAAGTCAAGAGAGATCGCTTTAAGAACGGCAGAGAGTCAGAAATAGATATAATAGGATAAAGTCTATTATAGTCAGAACACAATACTCTGTAGGGATCATGCAGCTCATAGTTAGATCTACATTGATTTAAAATTAGGGGGATGTAATTTCTGGTTAATCTACTTGGAACAGAAAAGTTCCAGTGCATCACCACCATGTAAAAGGTTAAGCCAGAATTCAAGAGTTATACTCGGTTCCCACAGAACTCCATCCACTAGTATTAAGCTGAATGGTCCAAATAGTCCATCTATGTAAAACAGTTGGCATTCCGATTACGTTGCACATCTTCTATTCTTCATACGGATTGTAAAAAAGATCTGGACAGCTAAACTAAAAACAGCAGTGCGGTTATTGTCATTGTACCAGCACTGTCAATTTGTTTGCAGAAAGGTTTGAAAACATCGAAGATTTGACACATATTCTAACAACATTTTTCTAACATCGAAATTTTCGATGTTTTGAAGCGAAAACATCAATACTTATCGGTACATCGAATAAATTTTAAACAAAGTAACAAACATTTATTTAAGTTTTAAAATTAAGTAACAACTAATTAATGTTGAGATCCATGCTTCGGTTGATAAAAAGTAATTTATCCACTACGGCTGGCTTCAGCGAGCACCTTCGATCCAAAATTAGTGCGAAAGGGGCAAGTGCCCCGGGCGCCAAATCTAAGGGGCGCATAATCGTATTTGAATTACACTGTATGTTTCGAAAAATCATGTTCATCTAACAAAATATAATAACAAGAAGGAAGCTATGTAGCTTCGGCAAGCCGAAGCTTATATGCCCAGTCATCAAATTTGTCGATAAAAATGCATAAAGGCTAAACATTGTTACGACCCGCTTATCGAAGGGGCAAGGCCGGCTAGCCAGTCGACTCAGGGAGGGATTTTTCCCCGTCTGCCCACAGGTCGCACCATAAATCCCAGCTGATTGGGAATCCAAAATAAACAAACAAATAAAAAAAAAACAAAGGTAAATAAAACGCTAACAGAAACATTACTCGAATTTATAATTGACATTCACCTTTCATCTCTCTTGGACGCAGGCTCGGGACATGGCTGGAAATATCCTTGGACGCACCCTCCCTTCCTGACACCCAACTGGACATCATCTTGTTGGATGCCCCTGGGCGTGCGGCTATCTTGGCTTACTCCTGGTCACGGCTCATCCTGTCATCTTCCCCCCCAACATCAAACGCTTAGCAACTCATATTCATAACAACATTTACTTATTACACATACTAATTTATCAACCTAAGTTTACAATCATTTATGGTTTCTTTCTTTTTATGTATTTTTAGAAATTTACGGGCCAAAGCAAAATTATAGTGGATTCATATCATCCAAAAGTGTCAACGACGATGAAGACGAAAGAGGACAAGGACAACGAGGACACGAGAATTCGGTAAGGGTATAATATTGTAATTAAAGAACTTTTAATTAACCCACATTTCCTTTCAGCTTTTCCCTAACTGGAGCTCCACTAAGGGTCAGGGGCTGAGACGGGTGATTGTTGGAATATAAATTTATACCCCCACACAGATCGGCCTGGTGACCTCAACCAAACACATATATATTTATAATTAACTTAAAATTAGGATATTTTGTATATTTTAAAGGATTAATTGCCTGGACCCGTTATTTTTACATGTTTGTTAAATTTTAAATTAGTTAGTGATTAATTTGGCTTCGTGATTGTTAATGAGGAACGTTAATTGATTTGTTATTTAATTCTTATTTCATTTTTCTGTCATTTACGTGCCCTTTTTTTTTTATAATTTTAATTATGTGCTTTTAATTTTCTATTGTCTTTTTGTTTTGTTTTCGTGCGTTTACCGGCTTTTTATAATGCCATATAAATAAATAAATATGTTCAAATAAATAAATAAATATGTGCGAATAAATATATATAAATAAATAAATAAATGTGTTTAAATAAATATATATACAGTCGACTCTCGTTAATTCGAAACTCGAGGGACTCTTGAAAAATTTCGAATTATCGAGTGTTTGAAATATCAAATGGTTCGAAATTTGCGAGAGAAAATAAATAAACCTTCGAATTATTAAGTGTTGGTTAATGTTTATTTATTAATATAAAAATGATAAGAATTAAGAGGTACATTTGTGTACGTACATGTATTCGTAATGTGAATTAATTAATCTTTCGAAAGAACTTTGTTATACTGGTTTGCTTTAAAGCACAATTCTGCTGCTAAAACTGCTCAATAACTTTTTAAAGAGAAAAAGTGCCTGAAATGCTTTTTCATCACTTTCGTTTTGTAAGGTATCAAATGAGGATCTTGCTTCCTTAACTTACACCTCTGCCAAAGGTTCTTTATACTTTCTAGGGCTCATAGCTAACACTAACTTTTAATATGCATACCAACGAAAGAGTAACAGTAACTGAATAACTACACAAACCAATTCGTAAGAAATGTGTGCGTCAAATGGTCAAACTACATAATTTTTTTTCTGCAACTTTGAATTGTCGAGTGTTAGACGCTGATGAGTTCGAATTAACACGTGGTTTTGTTAAATATCAATGATTTTTTCGTTTGAATTACCAAGTGTATGAAAATGTACTGATTTAGTTCGAAATATAAAGAGATTTCGTAGGGACCTCGAGATAACTTTGAATTATAGAGAGGTTCGAATTATCGCAGGTTTGAATTAATGAGAGTCGACTGTATATATAAGTAAATAAATAAGAACACCTACGCACCGACGAATAGATTAATATTTAAATAAATTAGCACTGGCACAAATAAATAAATAACATATATATAGATATAAGTCAAATAAATAAATAAATATGTGACATAAATAAATAAATAAATTATTGCGAATAAATAAATAGTTTAAATAAATATTATAACTGCCGATATAGTAATCAATTTAAAGAAATGAGGACGGCAAAAATATCACGTGATTTATGTTTTCTTTATTTCCTTGATCTAGGTCGGTGCAATTTATGTAATTCCTGGTGGGGATTGGAGGTTGGGATTTGCCGGTTTTGTTATCCGCGTCGGCGGAAGATTTGGCCGGGATTTCCTCCCCGGACAACCCTCGACAAGGACAATAGAGACCCCTGAAACCCGTCATGGATTAAATAGTTTTAGTTCCTTTTGGAACGGACTCTCTTTTCTTTTATTTACCTGTAGATTTCTGGATGTCCTGCCTCCTGGATCTGTCCAATATTCGGTTTTCCTGGTCCGGGTCTGCCTCCTGATCGTCTGTTTTTTTCTTTTTTTTTCTATTTAAATCACTAACGAATTCCGGTTTTACGCCCGCGGGTCACGTGGGTCTAGTGCGGATTGAGTCCCGTGGCTGCCCCGTTG